TGTACTTTATGATTCTTGACTCTTGATGAATGTATCTTTTCTTCTATGTATACTGAGAGTACTTGCACCAAGACAAATTCCTCGTGTGTCCAATCACACTTGACCAATAAAGAATTCTATCTAGCAGGATCAGAATGGGAAACTAATGTAGTTACAGGACCTAATCTGATTATGCTAATATAATAAAATTCTGAGCCTGTCAAGATGGGGATAAAGGAAATATTGGGTACTTGGAGCATCATTAGTACTTTCCATTTTTCATGTATACAGAGATTAAAAGTTATCTTTTCTGAGTCCCATGCTATCTTTCCTCAACTTATTTGTTTATTATTTGCAGATTCTATTTTTCAATATGAATTCAAAAGGGAAAAGAGAGAAAAGCATAGCTGTACACCTTAACTAAAATAATATAACAGAAGTTTCTAGATCAAAAGATCAAATACTATTGTTATGTGAGCGGTTTTTAGGGCATTCATAAACTTTCACTTTAAATTGACTATGCTTGACTTCAGTAATAGAGTCTCAATACATATATTTAACAAGATTAGGTATGTGGTGACTTTGTTACTTTCACAAGTCAATCTCTGGTTAGCTGGAATGAAATTGTAAGATTGAAGAAGTCTAGTAAAAAACAAGAATGGTGCCTAGGTAACTGTCAAGATATAAAACAAGTATAAAATTATACATTTCTGAGATCTTATTTACATGTCTCCAAAAGTCTTGTATTAAAACTGGAATAGAATGGTATTTTTGGCATCTCTTGAAAAATGACCTCTAGTAAAGGCATATTATTTTTTCCTTCAGTTGGTGATTTGTATTGAACAAAACTGATCTAAGCAAGGACTGTCTTACCGATCCTAAAATGACCAAATAACAGCCCACAAATAATTTCAGATTCTGCTTTACAAGATAATGGCGTTGCATGAGGATTTATTCATCTCACATCACAGGCTGCACTAGCATTGTGTTCATTGTCTGTTATTTATCAATGCAGCACCTGCAAAACCACGTGACTGAAAAAATCTTCCTGTCAAAAGCTGCACGACTGGACTCACTAATGAAAGGAAAAAAGTGAGCAGGCACATGTTTTGTCCATGTAAACAATAAAGCCAGAACCAACTCACAGAAGCAGCCTTCCGTGAAAAAGGAAAGAATAGCAGGGGTACCAGGAACAGGCATGCACATGTTATATGACAACAGTAATAAACATTTCTTACAGAGAAATATTGCTGTATTAGCCTCAGAGACTATTCTGCAGAACCTTAGAGACTAGGGTCTGAGTAAAGTGATACCCTTCATAAGGATTTCAAAACAAGAATGGCATGAAGAAAGAATATATATATGAAGTACATTGCCCTTTGGATATGAGGCATGGTATACTGACAAAAAACAGAATGTGGAAATGGAGCCATCAAGTTGTAGTTTGGTTAGGCACATGTTCAAAATAATATGTTTATTATTCCTCAGCCCATGAAGGTTCACTACCACATCCAACCCGATTGGAATCTATTTTCTCCTGTTTCTGTTGTATTCTGAAGTACAGCCACTTATTTTTTCTTGACCATATTTTAAGTCAACTCTTCACATATATTCATGTGGCCAAAGACGCACAAAGAGATTTTATGGCCACTTGTGTGAAAAATGCAGAACAGTCTGGGCTGCAATAGCCAAGCCACTGTATTCTTTGGCGGAGGCTCTAAATAATCCCTCAAGGAGAGGCAGGTGATTTGGAAGCAACACTTTAGATCAGGGGTGTCAAACTCACAGCATCATGGCATTATCATGTGATGTATCGGGATTCCCCCCCCCCTTTGATAAACTAGGCATGGGCATGGCCAGTGCATGACACATCCAGCCCATAGGCCGAGAATTTGACACCCCTGCTTTAGATTGGCATTTCCAAGTTTTCATACTAGTAGAATGGAGAGCAGAACAACAATGCTCAATGAGGCTTTTTGCCAAACAGAATAAGAGGTCTTTGTAATTGAAGACAACTGACTGCAGCCTGGTTTAAGAGACAGCCCTGACCCTTGTCCTTTCATTGGAAACAACTCTGACCTCTGGCTCCTGAGTGATGTCCTTGTGCATTCTGCTCATCAAACTCTGACCCCCTGACTAACAAACCTGAACTGGCTCTCTGAATTTTGGACTGGATTTTGACTATTCTTCTGCATGCTCCTGTTGAAAGTGAAACCACTCAAGCAAGCTTTCCCCCACTCCAGAGACTATGATTTAATTTACATTCCTTTCTTTGCCTGCAATTATCTCTTAAATCTTGAGTAAATTGCTAATCTCCAGAGCAACTGAGTGTGTAATTAAAAGCTGAAACAGGATGCTACCCATAAGCGATTTGCCATTGTTATTCTAGGAATTACTCTGATTTCTCAATCTGTTCTACAACCTAATTGTTCTCTATCCAAGAATTACTCAGGTTCAAATCTTATTAGTTTCAAACCCAGGTAGGATCAACCAGGTGCTGACATTTATCGAGGCCCCATAGTTAACCTCATAATTCACAAGGGTATTTTTCTGAGAAATAAAGAGTCCAATTTAGTACAATCTTTCCATTTTTAAAATCTACTTCAAGCAAAAAGTGTGGAAATTGTACACCTGAGCTTTTCGATGGTATCCCCCTGGCCTGAGAATGTTACTTTATATCAAGGGTCTTTAAACTTGGCAAGTTTAAGATTTGTGGACTTCAACTCCCAGAATTCCCCAGCTACCATGACTGGAGGAGGAATTCTGGGAACTGAAGTCCACAAGTCTTAAAGCTGTCAAGTTTGAAGACCCTGCTTTATATCAACTCTGAAAGATTATTGTTAGATTAATATGTCCTCTGTGTTTGCCTTTCAAATATTATGATTCCTTATTATTCTTATTGTCTTATTTTGTAGCCGCTGAATGAACAGTTCCATTTAATCTTTCAATTTGTCTTTTTTTTACAATTTTCTTAATTGATTTGTTTTAAAGAGTATCATTTAATAACTGTATTTTTATTATTTAAGCACCATGAATACATTTTTTAAAAGGTGATTATTAATAAGGTAACCAGGTAAGAAAAAACAAGCATTTGATTTAATACAAAAGTCTAGAATCAATACATTATTGTCACTAAAATAGTTGCAAAAAGTAATATCAACATTTCTATTGATAACTGGTTAAGAGCTTTACAGCAATTCTGAGATCATTCTTTTCTTTTAACAAAAATCTGGATTATGAAGCTACTAAACAATTGTAAACTATGAAGATTAAGAAAATTATAATGGGTTTGTCTTTGCATTGACCTCAACAATTTTAATGCATTTAATCAAATTTGACATTTACACAGATGAATAACCTTCTTTTGACAGAATGAGAATGTAGAAAACTTGTATCCATTCTGAATTTCAAAGTCACTGTCCCAACCTGGAAAATTGCTTTATTTGTCAAATCTATGCATTCCTGCTGAGGCTGCAATCTATTTGTCTGGCATCTGAAGCTGCAGAAAACATCTGCAGGAGCCCACAACAAAGAAAAAAACAGCAGATCCACTGAATCTACACAGTGTATACACAACCCTTACTATTTAAATAACTCACCACACATCTCGTATACAGAGATGCCCATTGAGATTTTCAATATATAAGGCATTTGAGGCATACGTGCCTTGCATTCACTCCCAATTTGAAATGGCATATGCAACTTTGCCAATGTTAGTAAAGCAACAGTCATCTTATATTAGTTATTGATAAAGAAAGAATGTTTTGTCATATGATGGATAAGAACATTTTTCTTGTCACCATTTCTTTATTACAAATAGTCCTTGACTTAGTTTAATGACCGTTTGAATTTACAACAGCACTGGAAAAGTGACTCCGTTTTTCACACTAATGGCCATTGCAGCATCCCAATGCTCACATCATCAAAATTTAGCAACTGATTCATATTTATGATGGTTGCAGTGTCCCAGGTTCATGTGATCATCTTTTGCAACATTATGGCAAGCAAAGTCAACGGGGAAGCCAGATTTATGTACAACTGTGTTACTAATTTGACAACTGTGGCAAGAAAGTTTGTAAAATGGGGCAAAACTCACTTAACAACTGTCCTGTTTAGCAACAGAAACTTTGGGTTCAATTGTGGTCACGTGGAGGACTATCTTTACTTTTTTCTGTAGTTAGCACTTTCATGAAAGATTGATATGAAATTCCAGAGCTTTAGGCTAAACTGGAAATCCAAAAATTACCTTAGAATAAGGCAGTGAAAAGCTACTTTTGTAAAATTGCTAAGAAACTTCAAGGATTGGTCCACAAAGTCAATATGACTCAAGTTTGTTTTAAAAAAGGGTTTACTTACTGAAACAGCCTTTAGTTCCCCCAGATCTTCTGCTTGGATAAAACATTGCCTTTATCCACAAATTGAACATCTGCTTCTTTAAAAGTTATTGGGTTTTTTTTAATCAAACCAGGATAAGATTCTCTAAAATTAATTTCCAGAATGATCCTTCTATGTGGTATGAGTTTATATAAGTAAAGTTCATCCAAATAATCAGTGTTTCTCTCATAATTGAGACTCAGCAGAGCAAAAAATAAACGGTTACAAACTAGGAGCAGAATTGCGGTTAACATCTCAGATGTTTGGACTGTTTGCCAAGTTCCAGTCCCTTAATAAGATCTCATCCAACCCCTTCCCCCACTCCAGCTATTTTTTTACAGGTAGTCCTCGACTTGTGATCACAATTGAGCCAAAATTTATCTTGCTAAGCAAGATATTTGTTAAGTGAATTTTGCCCCATTTCATGACCTTTCTTGCCTCAGTTGTTAAGTGAATCACTGCAGTTGTGAAGCTAGTAACATGGTTGTTATGTGAATCTGGCTTCCCCATTCACTTTGCTTGTCAGAAGCTCACAAAAGGTGACCAAAGGTGATCTCAGGACACCACGACCATCATAAATACGAGTCAGTTGCCAAGTGTTTGAATTTGGATCAGGTGACCATGGGGATGCTGCAATGATTGTAAGTGTGAAAAATGGTCATAAGTCACTTTTTCAGTGCTGTTGTAACTTCAAATGGTTTAAAATGAACCTTTGTAAGTAAAGGACTATTTATATCCGTGATGGTGAACCTCTGGCATAGGTGCCACAGGTGGCACACAGAGCCATTTGTGCCGGCACCTGAGCTGCAGGCAAACTTACCTCACTGTAAAAATACCAGAAGTGATGAAATGGGCCTAGTTTTCAGCCTGCAAAGCCTGCAGAAGCCTTCCTCAAGCTTCTGGGAAGCCAAAAAAGGCCTCAAGCCAGCTGAAAATCAGCTGTGAGGTACAGTGCAGATAAGGGGGCGGCGGGGGTGGGGATTGTGCACGCATGCATAGGGGGCATGGGGGAGGCATATATTGCCTTCTGAGTGCTGGCACACGCACAATTTTTGGCACAGGACCCCAAAAAGGTTAGCCACCACTGCTCTATATGGACCTCACACTCTTAGTAGCAAAGCAGTATCATATAATTTCCCATAATTCCAACATTTTTATGGAAAAGCTTTAACAGTAATTAAAGGAGTAGCCCAACCATACAGGTAGTCCAGGGGTGGGATCCTACCGGCATTACAACTGATTTGGGGAGCGGGCACATGCGTGCCAAATGTGTGCTGCACACATGTGCTTGCTACTGGCTCCAGTGGGCATTTACCTTCTTCAACTGATGAGCGGCACTCAGCAGTGCCATGCAAAGCAGTTGAGGAGGTAAAAACATAGGATAAAGGACAGCCTAGAGCCTGGGCGGGCAGGTGGTCATCACAGCGAATCGATTCAGTGTCAGCTGCTCTTTGGAGCTACCGGTTCTATAGAACTGGGCCAAACCGGTAGTATTCTACTCCTGCGGTAGTCCTTGACTTAAATCATTTGTTTATCAACAGCTCAAAGTTATAGCAACACTGAAAAGGTGACTTGAAACAATCTTCACATTTACAACAATCTTCACATTTACAACCAGTTACATGATCAACATTCAAGCACTTAGCAAATACTTAGCAAAGTATTTACCCTAGTTGCAGTCATGGGCTCACCATTAGTTAGCTTCTCAGTCAACTTCTGACAAAGTCATTAGGGGAAGCCAAATCTACTTAATAACCATGTAATTCATGTAACAATTACAATGATTCACTTACCATACCAAAAAGGTTATAAAATTGGGCATGAGTCACTTAAAAATTGCTTGCTTAGTAATGAAAATTCCCATCCCAGTTGTTGTCATAAGGCAAGGACTATCTGTATGCTTCTACAATGAGGGTCTGATTCAGTGGTGGGATTCAAACAAAATTACTACTACTGGTTCTGTGGGCATGGCTTGGTGGGCAAGGCATGGCTTGGTGGGCGTGGCAGGGGAAGGATACTGCAAAAGCTCCATTATGTCCTCACTCCTGGGGGAAGATTACTGCAAAATCCCTTTCCCTCCACACCACACTAACCTGCTTTCCACCTCCGTTCTCCTGTGCAGGGCAACAAAAGAAAACCCAGCTGATTAGCTGGGACTTGGGCGGCAGAGAATAGATAGGGGTGGGACCAGTCAGAGGTGGTATTTGCCCATTCTCTGAACTACTCAAAATTTCTGCTACCAGTTCTCCAGAACTGGTCAGAACCTACTGAATACCACCTCTGGTCTGATTAGAAAAAGGATCCACGTTTTGCCTAGACCTTTCTCCAGCCAGCCTTGGAAACACCCACAAAGAGAAGAAACAAAAACATATGTTCCAGCACCATCAGGCAATAAAATATTTTTTGATGATGCCAGATGTGCAAAGTAGCCTGCATAATTCATCCTGCCAATATGGCAGCAGCGGGAAGTTCCTAATAAGTAATTGCTCTTACATGAGAAATGTTATTTCGGGACTCCCCACATCCCAAAGTGCCTTTGTTCTGTCTTGGGAATGCTCGCTCCTGTCTAAATTCAACTCTAGCCTTGCCCCTTGATATCGCTGATAATCAGTCAAGTGCAAACTATAGCCTGTAATTTGATTTGTTCTGTTTTTGGCCACCGGAGAGGAGAGCAATGGGTAAGTGTATTCATTCATTGTAGCACTTCTTGATCCACTGAACTATTGAACAGGTTTAATCAAAAGCATACAGAGCCTGAAAGTTTCGTCACAGTTTGCCAGATCGGTTTCTTTCTTAGAACACCTTGGGGTGATAAGAGGATCCAGCCAAGAAAGCTTTCACCAGATGGAATGGCCCTCTGAAGAATATTCTGCTTGAATCAGGCCTCACAGCCGTCTTTGATGCTCTTTGCACTGTAAGACCTGTAAATCCTTCTGTGGGTGGGATGACAAATGTTTTTGCAAAAGGCACCTGATTCAAGACATGTAAGCTGTGCCAGAAATACTTCTTAATCTCTACTCCTTTAGAGAAACTAGAATAGGAAGCAAACTCTTTTTTCAAATCTTAGATCTGCTTTTTGCTTCAGTGTGTCAGCTGTGTTATACTTTGAATGGGCAAACTCAGAACTGCTTTTTGACATGGAACAATGAAGCACTGCGTACATTCCCTTAGGGATGATACCTTATAGCCTGAGTTCTGAGATGAATGCAGTTTATGCATTTTCACAATTTTGATTTTAGTTAGCTTGTCCGAGTGCAGCAAACCTCAGAACAGGAAATGGTTTGGGAAGAATAACCTGCTAAAAATGAAACCACTAACAGTTCTTGAATGGGATATGTAGTTGATGCATATTTTATAGCAGTACATCAATTCATAAAAATTACCCAGGCAGAGCAAGGAATTTGAAAATTGTCATTTGAAAGAGTGGGGAATCAAATTTCAGGAATCAAAAATGCTAATTCAAATTTTTCTGCATAATTATTTCTGTAGATTATTTGACATAAATGGCAAAGAAGGCAGACAATAGTCTAGAGATGAAGAAGTTGGGAAAGAGAAAATATCTTCACTGCTTCTTTGTTCTTGGTACTCTATTAAAATTAAAATCCCACCCAAACAAGGAATGGAGATATTCATTTTGATTTCAATGATCTAAAGTCTCAATTTGGAATGAGAATCTTTTGATATAGTAGAACTTTAATCTCCGAGGCGTAAACTATAGCCCATAATTTGATTTTTTTTTCCCTGATTTTGAGAGTCTACAAGAAAGAGCTGGTTATGATAGATGCCAAAGGATACTTCTGATCTCTATCATTCCAAGGACAATGGCAAGCTATGCAATTATTTCAAATTACTGTAATGTAATGATTGCCTAATACACAGCCATGGTAAGACCCAAATGGATCAGATCAAAGGTCTGTCTGATTTCATTACCATGTTGTCCACATTGACCAAGTCTGTCTTCAGAAAACTCATTAGCAGTAGATGAAGGAAAAATAACCGACAATTGTTGGAATCATATTCTGTCAATAGAATATTGTCCAGGACTTTATGTTGAGGCAAGATAGGTCAACCTCCAGTGTAGAAAATGCCATTCCTTCCTTTTAAAGAAGTTTTCTGGAGAAGGCAGCAGACTTCAACCACAAACCACCATTATTCTGCATGAAGCATGTTACAGTATCTAGATCCTTTCTAGGTGGATTTTAGATTCAGGCCCTGGATGGAAATAACACAAGTAGCCCTTGTGAATTCTCTTCACTAGGTCCTGGACAATGTGAATGTGTCTTTTCTGGCCCTTATAACTTTCAGGGGCTTTAAAATCTTCATCTATAGTATCCTCTTGAATTATCTATGAGGATTGAGAATTGGAAGCACTTATTAGAAAGATTCTTGAGAACAATGGTAATAAAAAATGTTGGGGAATAAGCAGTGAAGTCTCTGGTTTCTTCTGTTCAGTGTGTTAAAGGACTTAGTACTTCATGTTATATAATTTCTATGTAAAGACATGGGAGAGGACAATCATCAATGATACTCAGTTATATCCTTCATCTGAAGCTGAATGTAAGTTAATAGGACAGCCCTTAGCTGATATCTGTAGCTATATGAGACTAGATGAGATGAAACAAGTCGAAATTAAATCCCCAAAAGGCAGAATAGCTGTTCATCCAGATCTGTATGATGATTTAGTGATCCCTTGGTTGGCTCTGCAGAGAGCATCAGTCTCCCAAAAGGATCAAACTACAGCTCAGAACAGCTTTTCATAATGATCTGTTCACAGCCTGGTAGAGATTCAGGAGACAGTTTGGTGGGGGGGAGCAACACTCACCAGCAAATTCCTCAGTTTTCGGTGAAGTCAGCTTTTCATTTCCTAGAAAAGCCATTACCAAGAAACTGAAAAGCTCCTTAATGAACTGAAAGACAAATTAGGTTCTCAAGTAAGAGTAATCCAGTTGCTGAAATTTCCTTAATGTTATCCCTGTAAAGAAAACCCTGCAAAAATCTTATTATCAGTTGAGTCAGCTATCAAGAGCTCAACACTCTTAGACTTATAAAAGTACCTGGTGGAGGGTACGGCCAGGAATGCCTTTGCCCAACTACATCTGGTATACCAATTGCAGCCTTTCTTGGAATGGAACCTAGGAAACCCTTATTACACACACCCATTCCCTCTCTATTGGTTTACTGAAATTTGCTTTACACAGAGGTGTTCTTGAAGATACTCAGAAGTTTGTGCAGAATATACCAGCCTGTGTGCTGACTTGTGACACCTGGTTCTTCTTATTTATTTGAACTGGACATCACCTGACTCCAACTGACTTTGAGTTGCTCACAGAATAAAAACAGGCATCAATATACAATCCAACTGAACAAAATAACAAATCCAGTCAAAATGCATACACCATGCTCTACTCTCCATCCGCTCTTCACAGCCTAAAATCTGGGAAAAGTGCCAGATTTTCAAGCCCTCCAGAATGCCATCAGAGTGAAAGCCATCTGCACTGCAGGTGGGAAATGGGAGGTGAAGGGGTTGGCACCTGTGGGCTATGTTTTTCCATCATTAACTTTGGTATTAGTTCCCTCCTAAGATCCAGATGGTTCCAGGCTCGCCATCTAAATTTAAAACTTGGTTTATTAGACAAGCTTTTGGAGAAGAGTATACTTGCATTCCACCTTAACCAGTAGATGTGTTGCATTTTAAATCTAGTTTAAACCAGAACATGG